ATTATTATTATTATTATTATTATTATTATGTTATGATTTGCCGTTCATGTGCCGTTAGTGGGCCAATATTTTTTGGAATAATCGGTGCGTAATTAAAAACTATTAATGGGCCGATAATTTGAATAATACGTGGTCCATTGCTGAGCCCATTAACCGGTCGATGATCAACTACCATTAATGGGCTGGGGTTATCATTTGTATATTCATCCGTCCATGAGCCATTAGAAGACGCCAATGACTGGCCGTTAGTTGTCATCCTTCGCCCGGCGATTGGCCTTCCGTGGGCCGGTTTTCAAACTTTGTATGGGAATGGAGTTCTCTGGTAATTAGTTGCTAGGGATGAGAAAAGAAGGGTTATAACAAAATTAATCAAACACGTGGTTGAGCCAATCAAAGATGCAATATTTTATTGGCTCGTTAGTGAAAAGCCGTGAAAAGTAAAAATGGTTGCAGTTGAACGGCTCAAAGCAACTTTTAAGATACGCGAAAGATATTGTATTATTGAGAAACAATAAAGAGATAATAAAGCTAGTTAGAGTTAATAACGCTAAACCCTAATAAACAAAACATATGAACTTGAATTGCAAATAAGCATGACAATAAACCAAATATGTGGTAATCGACAAAGTTCAGAATGAACGAAATATTGAAACTTTGTTCGCTTGTGATAAAATTTTTAAACTGCTATATAAAGTTATATAGGAAGTATATAATATTAGTAAAAATATTAATTACAATTCTTTAAATTTGTCTAAATAAAACAATTACTGTATCAGCAAACTCAGTAAAGAGTAACCTAAAAGATAAGTAACCTTTCTTTATACCATTCTATGCAATAAAATACATTTTCAAATATTAAAATTAGGACATGTTAACGTTAAAAGTAAAATTATTTAATATACATTTATACATTTCAGTTTCGAATTTGTTAACTCGTCGAAAGAAAGGAAAAGAATTAAATACTGCACTGTTTATCTTTGAAAGTGTCGAATGCTCCGCTGTTTTTCTTTAGTTTTCGCCTATTTTTGTTTGGTTTTCGACTCGATAGTTTACTAGAAATATACGTAGACTTTCATAAATGTCTGAAGGTTAAATGTATTGTATTCTTTTTCTTTCTCTCTAACACTGTTTCTATTATACATCCTTATATATATAGTTTTAAGATTATAGATAGCATTAAGTATCGATACCGTGAAAAAAAGTTGGAAATTAAAAAAAAACATTGTTAAACCTTTCACTTCGGCAGTCCAGTCCGCCGAAGTGTCATCACCTTACGGAAGCATTCGCCAGAAATGTGCACAGGACGCGTGGTTTTGGTATATATGTTTTTTAAGTTTTAAATAATTACTATTTGTTGCTCTAATATAGTACGTTTACTTGTTTCTGCCGTGTAGGTCATTATCGGTCTGACGCAAGTTTTGTAAGCTCGTATCTTGCTTTTGGTGCTCATATGTTTATTTCTCCATACAATATTTCTAAGGTATCAAGAGATTATGAAGGCCTTAGTTGTTTGGTCTCATACCTTGTCTTCTAGTTTCCTGTCCTTCGTAATGATCACTCCTAGGTATTTAAATCGCATTACTTGGTAGATACTTTTGTTGTATACTGCTAACTTGCGTTATCTAGGCTTCTCAGAGATGGTGAATGATTCTATTTTCTGTACCAAAATTGTTATGTTAAGATTTCCTGTCGTCTTTTTGTATTTATATAAAATCTTTTGCAGATAATCTTAAGGGGTTACCCCTACTTGTAACCAAAAAAAAAAGGCCTTTTTCATGAATTTTTTTAAATAAAACTATAGAACTTTTTTGTTTGATTAATATACCATCTTAAAGTACACATCTTGGAGAACTTTTTAGTAATTTTTTAATTGAAAAATAATACATTATTAAGTGGTAAATGACAGTCAAATGAATGATGTTTTTTTTTAGGCGGTTTGCGGTGACCAACATTGCGGCGAAGTGGATTGTCTGAAACCACAAATTCGGATGGATCTAGTTAGATATAAGTATAAACTAGTCTTTATTCGAAGGATTTAAAAAAATATTCATTTTTCACAAAATGGGGAATAGTCAAAATTTATGGTTCGATTTTAAGGAAAAAAATCGAACGATTAAAGACTATATTTTTAGGTATTAAAGAAGCCTGTAAAATTTGAAGATGATCGGTTTATTAGTATTCGAGTAATCTTGGTCACTGACTTCAGAAATGCCATTTCGAGAAAAACGCGATTAAAGTTTCCATTCCAGTTTACACGAAGAAAATAATTTTTTTTTGTAAACTTACATAGAGTCATCTATTCCTGGTCCATACAGAAGTTCTTCCGCTGATGATGCTGCTTGTAAAATGGAGATTTGCCTTTGTCTACATAATAATCTTCCTTCACGAGTGCTCTCAGCCGCACGTCTGTCAGCCAGTGCAATCCGACCTTCATCGATTTTTTCAGCGTATTCGTGTGCGTTGCGACCACAGCTCACTCCGATTGAGTTCAAATAAAATAACAATGATTTTGAACCTTCATTAAATAATCCAACAGCAATATAAGCTGCTAAATCACAACAACTGCTCCACTTGAGGCGATTTTTGGAGCGATTTTCCAAATGAGTTGGTTGAAGCTTTCATTGCTATTTTGATTGAAACCACCGACGCATCTTTCAAGTAAGGTTTCATTACTTAGATCTGTGTATATAGGTTTGATGGCATCCAATACCTCCGATGGAAGTGCTTTGTACTCGTGTTGGAAAGCTTCGTTTCTCGCCTGAGCTCGTTGATACGAACACCACGATTCTTCACCAGTTGGACATCTCTTGTGGTTTGGTTTTTCATCGGTGAAACTGTAATGGTCGAAGGTCGCCCATATTGCCTCATACATACCGCTAACAGAATCAGAATGGCGTCGAATAGCCAGTCCATAATACACCGTGAGCTTGTCGATAAATTTACCCGTCAGCTTTCCTTTACCTCCAAGCTTTTTGTTTTTTTTTTACCAGATTACGAAGGCGGGATCCCATACGCTTTTGAACGTGTCCGATGCATTCTTTCTTTATAACTTGTAGATCTTCATAAGGATGAGAATTTATTAACCCAGTGTACGTCTTCGAATCTCCATCTCCAATATAATAGCGGTACACGACATTATATTTTGATATTGATCGCTTGAAGATTTCGATGATAGAGTCCACCTCCATTTTTCCCGCGGAGCCTTCATGATTTGCACTGCATTCATCTTTGTGTGTTTCCAACCATTCTTCGTATTCTGCATCATTTAATTTATGTTTCATCACAAGATCAAGTACTTTTCCACTGTAGTAGCCTATGACTGATGAAACTCCGAACAACGACGTATATCCTTGCTTCCTCCAGAATCCATCTCCGGAAACTGTTAATTTAGAAGTTTCATCGTCTGCTGCATTAGGTGTACTTTCAATTTCTTCTCGTACAGCTTTTTTAAATATTATATCTACACTGGTTTTCACAGACTCATAAATATTTTTCAAAATCATTGTATATGTACTCTCGGTAAGAAACTTTGGCATATCCATTAATCCGCAAAATTTTTGTGCTCCAGCCAATCCTATGCCGAGAACTCGCACAGTAAATATAAATCTACGATTTATTTCATACGAATGAGCCACAAAAGGAGAAGATGGTATATAATTATCTGCACATGAATCACATTTCAGAACGACTTTGAAACCTAGTCCTCTTGAATTAGCAGTGTCAAATTTAATATTTCCATCACACGTTTTACACTTCACAAAATTTGAAATAGCAGCAAACACAACAAAAAAGTGCAAAATGCGATATTCGATAGTAGGATCCTGAGATACAGTCATATCAATATTATCTTTTAGTTTCTTTGCAGACGTACTGAAACTTGTACTTTCCGTTTCGGCCAATTTCGGATTAAAAACACTCTTCCTTTTTTTTGGTCGAGATTTCCGTACATTTTCACTACTTCTCAATTCTCGCGAACCCWTTTTTCGATCCATTTTTAATGTAAAAAAATAAAAACAGCGCTTATAATATTGAGAACGATGGAAATAAATACGTTTGATATAGTCGAACTTTCGGGCTACACTGACGAATTTACACCATAAAAGGCAACGAAAATTCGTTTCAAAACCAATTCTAGTCTATTACATGAACGTTATGAACTCAGGTATACAACCTTTTTCATATAACAATAGACTGAAACGGAGAGAGGGTCGAGCGCGCCAGATGCGAGACTAGCCGGTTGTTTACAAAACGGAGCCTTCTCTTTCAAGGCTCACATCTCAGTTCATTTTGTTCGGATCGACTTCAAACTTTCAGGATATATTTTCAGATATTACTACTTCAAAAAAATGCA